TTACATTACAAACTGAAGAAATGGCTACTTGAAAATGCTTGGTTATCTTCTTATAGCCTTCTCCTGCTTTGTGGGCATTGATTATTTTAATTTTCAGAGTGCTAGGGAGCTTCTTAGAGGAGTCCATGGCTGCTGATTGTTGGGACTGATTGTCTAACGAGCTAATTAAGATCTGAGCCCTTGGTAAAAGTTATCTGAGAGCTCAAATCTCTTGGGGTGCCCAAACTTTTGCATGATTCTACTCACAAAACTAGGATGTTTTTTTTTTACCATTTTTCATCTCAGCACTTACAAATTGTTCTCTGACAAACAGACATACACTGAAACTCAATGTCAAATACTTTTTCATACAGTCAAAAGAAATGTATATATCTGGCATGAAAGCTAATGAAATTGTGTGCTCATTTTAATACAATGTGTGTGTCACTGTCGCCACTGTAGCTTTGACATGACCTCTTTGCGCAATTGCCAGGCAATGTCAGAGAATAATACTGAATTGAAACTTCAAATTAGTCTCTATGTTCGTGTCTCAGAATTGTTTTAACTGAATTGTGTAACTGAACAAATTGAGGTGCCAAGGACTTAAAGGAAGAGACAGGCAAGAAAAGGCACACATTCCCAAGACAATCTGCAATTTAACTATAGCCACAAATCTCAACACAGGTTCAGTAAATCTTTTTTTTTTATTTCTTTTTCTTTTGGTTTCTTTATTACTAACAACATAAGTGGAACTGCACCATGCCCGTCTCATAGTTAACTACATACTGAATCTTTTATTGTTAGGTTTTATGCTAAAGTTGTACTGCACAATTAATCTGTGCCTCTGATTATGTGATTTTTCTTGGCTATATACAGTATCAGAATTCTAAAAAATTAGGGTGAACCTAAAATATGAACTCTATGTGATAAACATTCTTTCATCACATCATCATCACTACAACAGGAGGCCCCTAGTTTTTCAATCTTCAACCATTTAAGCTTCTTATCTCTTCTAATCTCTATCATACAAATGGCAAGCACACAAAGACGAAGATAGACAGACACACACACACACACACACACACACACACACACACACACACACACCTCAGCCTTTAGATTGATCTTGATATGTCTCAATGCTCCTTTTCCCTCTCATTACTTCTATCATCAGACTGAAACATTTATGGCAGTCTGGCTTTCCCCGTGACCCTGTATGTCATCAGCAGACCCAATTCTCCCAGCAGTACCAGGGGAGCCATAAAATACCAACAACACCACTAAAAGCATTTAGGAAGGAAATAAAGCCGGCCAGAACATGACTTTGCCTTCCTTAAGCACTCTTATCTGTTGTCCTGTGGCTGGCCTCAACAAATGCAAGGAGAGAAGTGTAATTTGGTGCAACATGGATGATGGCTTACATTTTACCACTCCTTCAGTGTTAGCCTGGGTCTATGGCACTGCTGATGGTCTGAGATAGTGAGCGGACAAACGATAGCTCTCTGGAGAACCTGTATACTCAGACTGTGGTCCTGCAAAATTAACTTCTAGGGCAAGCCTTGCAGTGGTGTGTCTATGGCAAGGGGGCGTTTTAGTCATAACCAGGGACCAATTTGAAGGGGAAGAATAGTGGATGCCTTTTCCCCTATTTGAAAAAAGGGAAAATAAAATAAGATCCCTTGTAAAATTGCCATCCTCTTTTTCCTTTCACTTTGGATTCCTTTTAAATTAAATGTGATATTATTATCAATATTTTAACCCCATCCAAATGTAACATTCACACAATTTTGCTATGCACAAATCAGAATTTCATTTCATGTCAAATCAGTAAAGTTAAGAGCACACACACACACACACACACACCTCTGCAGATAATGCAGTTACGTAGAAATCAGGGTTGCCAGATTGGGTTGACTGTTTAGAGTCCAATCGCTGTTTAAATCCTTCCCTTGACTATAAACTGTCACACTGTGGCCAGATTAAATCTATACTAAATTGTATCTAACAGAATAAAGTTTTTTCCAAACCAGTGAAATTAAAAGTTTTCCAAATTGTGACTCACAAACTGGCAAGCAGAAATGCATGCTTTTAATTGCAATGTTTAATGATACAGCAAGCTTCAGCCTTCAGAAAAAGCAAAGAAAACACTATGTTGCTATAAAAGATCTTTGGAATTTCTTCCAAAAGAAGAAAAGCAGGTATTAGAACTAGCATTAGCAAAAATGTATATTTAATGACTCTATTTTGATAGGTATGCTAACTAGATAATTAACCCATCATCCACCTTGTCATTTTATTTATTTTTTAACTGTTTTTTTTTTTTTTTTTACTTTACAAATAGACCACTGGTCATAAAAGCACCTGGATACAAAAACTGGAATATTACACTGAAACATGAGAACATACTTGGATCAGTCTTGAGGCTGTCACGACACAGAAGCACACACAGACACACACACATACACACACGCACGCGTGTAGCCAGCTCTCTTCTATCAGAACACATACATGCATTTGCAAATGCAGAAAATCCCAGAGACTGGATTTGCATTGCAGAAATTGAGATGTACACTTTTTATCTGTATAAGTGAATAGAAACAAAACATGTTCCAAGGTGTATCACTGCCCACGCAAATTCATTTCCTATAATTTCCTTGTTGATATTAGATGAATTTTTTATTATGGTTCCTTTTGTAATTTAGGAAAGTGTGCAGGTGTAATTCGGACATCACCTCCTTCTAACTACTTCAGTATAACAGAGAGCAACAGACTATAGGCTTTACATGAAGCTGCCGTTAATGCATCCAACCCAGGCAATGTCTCTCTCTACTTTTTGCTCATTTCTACCACATTACTACATTAGGCTGTAATTCTGTGGAGATCAGCAGATACCCTGTATTGTAATATCTCATTCAAATTACCATAATTAAATTATGGTCAGTGGACTTCTGCCTACACATTTCAGAATAAATATGTCGGTTAAATTCAGGGTAGCGTTGAGTTAACTTTGTTTAGCTCAACTTAGTACTACAGCATACTGAATACTCACATTATCCATGTTTAAATGGAAGCAATATATGAGATTTACTGTAGCTTTTGAGAGAGGATGCTTGCCAAAATCAATTCCCAGAACCCTTGAAAATGTTATGAAATAAAGCATTTGCTACTATAGTTAAAAGAAAATAAAAATGAAACAGAATTACAAGTGATGAGGATGATTGCGGCTGAAGTTAAAAAGCCTTAATTTAAAAACAAAGAGCACATACAAGAGCAAACAGAGACACATATTTATATAGAAAAAAGTGCAAAAGCTCTACTCACAGTCCTCTCAGTCTCAGCCAGATCTTCTCTATCTGCTCCGGCTGTAGATACTTCAGAGAGTTGTTCTCAAAATCCTCAATCTCCTTGGTGGGTGATTCCATGTCAAAAATGTCAACCAGGCAAAACGACATGAACGTGGATTATCCGGTGGCCAGAACAGAGCCAGCAGCTGAAGTGTTGTTCCAAAGTAGGAGTGTGAGTGGGCTACAGCCCGGAGTCTGTCAGAGTGACAGCTGGAGCCTGTCCCTCATCCTCTCCCTCTCTCTCTCTCTCTCTCTCTCTCTCTCTCTCTCTCTCTCTCTCGGCAGGCTACCCCCTTCACGCTGAGAGAGTGTTTGTCACCAGCTCTGTGGTCAGGTGTGCAGTGAGAGAGTAAGAGCTGTGAAGGGCCATGCTTGCTCTGACGAATACGATGCAGAAAGAGGAAGAGGGGGAGGGGGTAGGGACGGAGAGGATTAGAGCAATGCTGACGATCTATGCATCAAAGAGTTACCAGTGCATGCTGGTGCCACAGCCTGCCCTCTGCCAGAGCAGGGACTCAATCAATGCACTCTGAGCACAGAGCACACTGTTTGGGCTGGCAGAGAGAGAAAGAGAGAAAGAGAGAGAGAGAGAGAGAGAGAGAGAGAGAGCTTCCTCTATATATACCAATTCTGAGCAAGGGAATCAAAGTGTGGTCAGCCAATGAGAGAATGAGTGAGTGTTGAAATGAGGAAGGGAAAAAACACAGCACTCTGACACTCTGTTGAGATGTGTGCCATTGTGTGAATGTATTTATGTGCATGGATGCACAAGTGTGTGACTGAGACTTAAAAACTAGAACATGAATCTGTTTTCCAGGAGCCAACAACATCAACTCCTGCATTACCTTATTAATAATGATACATAACCTGAGGAGAGGAGAGGATTCATCACCTTGATAAAATGATAAAACCTTGACTAAAATGAATGAAATAAAATGCTTCATTAAAATAAGCAGTGCAAAGCAAGCATGGTCTGAACTATAATCCTTTCAGCATAACTGAGCAAAAGAAGGCATAATACAATTACAAGAAATTATTCATGAGACATATGCACATGCACTATTAAAAGTGTATGGGCGTAAATAGGTAAGCCAGTCCTCTCCAGAAAGTGGCTGAGACAAGAAGGGCACTTCCAAAGAGCTCCATAATCACAGCGAACAGAGCCCCTGACATATCAAAGTGATGACTCAAAGATTATTAGAAGAAATAGAGACCCTCCATTAGTGTTGAATGTTAGGCCCACTTTGTTATGCTTTTCTTCTGTCAGGAAACCTTACATCTTTATCTTAATAGTAGGAATCAAAACACATTACATTATACCACCTGATCCAGAATCCTCACAGACAGTTTTTCCCATGGCAGAGATGAGTAGAAGAGGAGGATTGTACTGTTTTAGTCTACTGGGTCGCCAGGTTCAAGATTGTTTAGCTCTGCAGCACTCCTCACAGCAACCTGTCTGACTCAGTGACTCCAAACAAGAAGTGGAAGACACTGAGATCATATACTTAAAGAAACATTCTTTCAGCTGCTCTTCTGCCTCCATTATGGAAATCCAGTTTATTTGATTTGGCACAGCTTTTACGCTGGATGCCCTTCTGATGCAACCGTCCCATTTTATTCAGGCTTGGGACCAGCACTGAGTGCATTAGCTCTTACAACGCCAGGGACTGGATTTGGCACCTGATGTGGGACTCAAACCCATGACCCTGAAATTAAGTCTCATTGCACTACCGACTGAGCTAACCAGGCACCGTAATCTTAAAGTGATACCCCAGCTTTTTTCAACTTAATCTCCATCTACTGGATCTGTAGTGTATGTGCACCTACCAGGAACAAGAATTTTTTGACACGCTCTTAAGATAAAATCTGTTTCCTCGACATTCACTGATAATAGAAGCCTAAGGGCAATTGTTGGGGCAGTCAATAAACATTTCTGAACAATGTATTTTTGTAGAATGTTTTCATTAATTCTTCAGTTAGTAAATTTGTGAAGTTTGTAAATTAAATTCTATATGTGTATAATTGGTCCTTTTAGAAATGGAACTTTTTCAGAGGGAATAGTCTGGGATTATGTATTACCAGTGCAGCTCAAAGGAAACATGGAAGTGCCTTTGTTTGCTCCTGATGGTACGTGAATATCACAAACCCTTAGGGAAGGTCTAAGTAAGCAGAATTGTTTTTCACTTGTGTTTCTCTAGCATTGATGATGTATAACCAGTGTACAATATATGGCTATTGACTGAGTTCAACAGCTGTTGATAGACATTCATTATAAGTGATTTTTTGTGTCAAAATTCTCAGCGTTCACCCATAAGCCACTGATGCAGTGGATAGAGGAAAGGATGAAAAATGATGGAGCATTCCTTCAAGCTGTCATTTGAACATCTATGTTGAATTGCCTTGTGCATTGCTGTTTGCACACATATGCACAAGTGCACACGTTCTGCGTTGTTTTATGTAGCACCATGGTTCTGGAGGAACGTTGTATTGTTTCACTGTGTACTGTACCAGCTGTATATGACTGAAATGACAATAAAGCCACTTGACTTGACTTAATTTTTCTGTCATATGTACAGGTCAGTGAGCACTAATTGGCTAGTCATGAAGAGAGACTATGCTTATTCTGCCTATTGGAGGCAGCCTTTCCATTGACCAGAGCCACTATGCCATACTGTCCTTGTCTGAAATGCATATACACTGCTGTACATTTCTTAAAAAATTGCATAAAAATATCAGCTATAACTTCTGCCATTAATTGCCAAATTAGGTGAGAAAGGTGAAAGGTTATAATCTTGTAATGGAACAGGACAACTAATCTGCTTGTAGACTGATGCAAGTGGCATCATTTTCTATTTATTGCGTGCGTCTTGTTTACTTTGGAGGTGAAGAAGGCAGATCTTGAAGAAGTTTTCTTTCATTATCGTAGGTGCTCTGCTTTTTCCTATCATTGTTAATTTCCTAGTTGTGGCTAAACTCAGACATCTTGCTTCTATTCATTAGTATAAATAAGTATCAGTATACATAAGCATTACCTGAGCCTCCAGATGGCTTTGCCGTTCAGCTGGCACCTGGGTTCCCTGATCCTCCTGCCACCTTTATTGACCGGTTGGCTTCCAAATCCTCTGGGCAGCTTTGCTGACTTGACGTGCCACCGTGCTTGTTAACCTGCTACCCTGCTTCGCTGACCTGTGCCTACTGGCAGCAGACATCATTGAGCCTTCCATGCCTCCATCAGCACTCGTCACCACACCTCCCCAGCTATGCCAACCTCCAGTCTTCCTGTCATCTGTGGACATTCCAGATTCCTGTCTGCCCTGTTGCCGCGTGTGTGTTTTGGTTTAGTTCAAGTCCTGTCTCAGCCTCATTTTCTCTGATTGTTTTCACCTATTTCTTGTCACCACTATATTACTTTCAATATTTAAACCCCTCTGTGTACCTCTTTGTTTGCAAAGTCTTTTCATGCTTGTTAAATCTAAGCTGTATTCCTGTGTTCCTGATTTCACCACCCACCTGTTTACAACATTTATGCTAATGGATTAAGCTAGCTTAAACTTGTCTATCTGTGTTTTGACCTCAGAAACGGACTGTGGCAGTGATCTTTGGTTTTCCCTAAATAAAACTCACATGCACCCTGTGGCAGCGTGGACGTGTTCAAGCGTCAGCTGTGGACGGAGAGGAGGCGGGTCGAACCGGCAGGTAATGTGTGATGATTCTCACCTGAGTCTTATTACCACCAGTCTACTTATGTGTGTGATTTTAGGGATTCCTGTAACCAGTAAGAGAGAGAGAGAGAAGGTGATATAGCTAGCGGTGCTTGTGTGACCTTGAACTTGACAAGAGTGAAATCTGAGAGTCCGGAACAGACCCGTTTCTGTTGAGTTGTTTTGGGTTTGTTGAGTTTTTGAAAGTATCCTGAAAAGCACGGACTGAATAAACGAGAGCCCAGAGCTCAGCTAAAATTCCGCCTGTCTCTCGAGTCTTCCTCCACACCCTCACACCCCGGGTTCTACAGTGGTGCCGAAACCCGGGAATCGAGGAAGACTCTGACGCTGGAGCAGGCCGAGAACCCACTCCACAAGCTGCTGCAGCCCACCACATCTCCAGCAGTGTTCCCTGCTACCATGCCACACGTCACACTCACCAAGATGGCCTCCACAGACGATCCGGAGGCCTTCCTCGAGCCCTTCAAGTGTGTGGCAGCTGCGTGGGAATGGCTGAAGGAGGAATGGGCTCTGTAATTCCTCCCCTTGCTACACGCGAGCCTGGAACTCAGCTAAAATTCCGCTTCTCCCGAGTCGGGTTCTACACAGTCACATTTGCACCCTCCCCCTACATCTACTCACCACAAATTACATTATTGTTTTTTAAACCATTCATGAGACCAACATGCTGTAATTTACATTAATATCTCAGTAGATAGTGACAGATCCCCTACAAGACATCATGATTGCTGATGGGGAAGCATTAGAGATGTTAATGCCATGGGGTGGGGAAAACGTTTTACCTTGACTAATTAGGTATTCTGTTCAGCATACAAGTTCATTTTTCCTTTAACTGCAAATGTGAGGAAGTGTATTAAATAGAAAGGGTTTTCATAAAGAACAGAAAATGAAACTTCACTTAAGGCTCACGGGACATTTGTCTTTTTTGCTTAAAGCTATTGGTCTGCAATTCTATTAATTGATTAATCAATATGCATTTTGTTTGCTAGGTGATTATTTTATTAATATCCACTGAAAGCTGAACACTGTACACTCTTACAATGTCTTCTGCTGGTGGAGCTTCTAAGCATCTTAGCGATTTTTAGGAGATTTTTTTGTCTTGCAAAAAGTTGCAAAATCTTTATAATACAGTTTCAGTCTGGACCTTTATATTTTTACATTGTTACCTTAACCACCAGTATTTTGTAATCCATGATGCCAGTTCAGGCTGTATCACCATAATAAGGGTTACATCTAGCTATGTGGACCTGGTTGAAACCGGTATAAGTGGATGTAGCCTTCAGGTTCTCGTGAAATATTAATTTCCTTCACGTGAACAACCTCAAAATGTTTTCACTTCAAAATGTTCTCTCTCTGTGTTTTGGCAACTTATACGTTTTCTTACAGCTTATTTAAAATTTTAAGGCAGCTGGCTACTGACATTTTCCTGGTGAATTCTTAAATTTCACATTCATATAGAATATGAGTTTTGAGCACTTAATATAACTAAAATTCGAATTGTTTGAACTGCTATTTTTTGTAATCAATCTTATTTCTGATTTTGAGTTTCCAACACGTGCTTCTTTATAGCACCCTAAAGGTTCTATATGGAGAAGATTTAAAAGAAGTAAAAGAACCATTTCAAAATGTTTTGTACGACACCAAAAAGACAAAATAAAAACTTTATTTGGTGTTATATAGAATAACTTTTGCTAAGAGTTTAATATCACACCACAAGCACTAAACTATGTCAATTAAACTATGTCAGTGCTAAACTATTTGCATTGATGCTCCCCTGTATTTTCTTATTCATTAGGACAAACACACAAAAGGCGCAAGACATTGAATTTTGCTCGTGGGAAAGACCTATTCCGCCACAGACCCTTTTAGTAAATCAGTTTAATCAGTCAGAAAAAGTACACTTTTGTTGAACCCTCCAGCTTAAAACCTGGACTCTGTTTATGGTTGCACTAGAGAACTGAATCTATGCAAAACCAGTACTGAAAGTCATGTGTAATCAAAAAACACCCAGTTCCTGTCCGCGAACACACACACACACACACACACACACACACACACACACACACACACACACACACACACACACACACACACACACACACACAACTGACAATTTTTCTTTCTGTTTCTGGGTGATGTAAGAAAGCAGATGTAAAGTGGGGGATACAGCAATTCTTTTTCATGTGTCACAGGAGCTCACTACCCTTCCATCACATAACTCATTTTCTTCTTCTTTATCATTCCCTCCATCCCTCTCTACCCCTACTTCACCAGTCTCTGTGTTCCCCTCGATCTATCTCAACTACAGAGAGCTGAGCATGAGAGATCAGCACGATGTTGAAGGAATGTCTTGAGGGGACAGGAGAGCACCTTTTGGAAAATATCCAAATTATTTGCCTTTTCTAACAGTGGAATGGAAAACGTGTGTAACTCCTCTAATGTCATTTCCTCTTCCTCCTTCAGGAGATTACCATTACCCCTGTCATCTCTGAGAGAGAATGTATGTGAGTGGTAGTGTCTGTGTATGTATAAGTGCATGCTCTTAGTCTGTGCAGTCCTTGTGGCTTATCTGAGGGGTAAAAAGGGGTGACTGAGAAAAATCAATTGAAATGAGATTCAGATTGAGGGCTTGAGCTGTGAGCAATTCAATTAACAACAGGAGACATGCACCATGTTTCCAACACACGCTTCTAAAATGGATCTGGACAGTGGAAACCCACAGCCCACAACACAGCCCTGGCTGATATCCAGAGTTGGTTCTAGCATTTCCTTTTTTTCTTACTTGAAGGGCAAGCAGGGTACAAAGGCATTAATAGGATGGTTTTGTTGGTTTTGCATGGTGGCCCAAATTTCAGAAAAAGCAACTTAATAATAACAATTATTATATATTGGCATAGACAACTCTTGCTTGCAAAGCAATATCAAGACCTTATCAAGTAAAATAAAAAGAGTGTGACAAATCTGATTCATTAAAAGAAATACATTAACTTCTTTTCATTTCTTTCCATGCTGTACTATCCTCAAACT